ACTATTTCCATTGTGATCGACAGTTAAATGATAAAACTTCTCCAATTCTGATACACATTTTTTCTTAGAGGCCTAAACTACCTGGTTTCTTTGTTAGCTTTCATACCAGCCGGCCAAGCCACTGGACAGTCACAGATAAATATGTGAACTGTAGATGCATGTTTATAGATGAAGAGGCTGTGGCTCAGCGTTTGTGGATTGGCGTAGATCCTGAGTGGCATAGCTGGGAATAAAATCTTAAGATGTGTGACTATCCTCTGTCCTGCTCCAACTGACAAACTCACTGTTGTATGTAGATTGAAAAATGGGCTTTTCATGCTGCCTTTATGTAAGATCTATCACTGAGAGATGTGAGCTGTTCTAGAACCAGCAATGGAAGAAAACGACTGGTGTAGACTCTTTGCTCTGAGGATATGGTAAATCAATGCACAAGATAGGATTCCTGATGCTGATTTCATGGTGATGCAGTGAAGGAGTTTCTACAAGAGACAAACTTAATAAAATACAGCTGTCTATCTGTCTTTTACATTGGGACCTGCTCCATGCCATACTCTGCTTCATAATATGCTGCTACTACCTTCTTCACCGGGCTTCTGAACTATGTATTTCCAGTGAATCCTTGCTTAAGCTTGTCCTGTTAGTTTACTACAGCTTTCTAACCAAGTTCTGACTTCCTCTTTTGCTTCAGATCCAGGCCTATGTGATGTGCAACAAGTTGCGTTCTGCCTATCTGGTCTCGGTGAGGCAGGAGAAGACCAGAGCAGTGCAGCTAGTCCAGCATGTGCGACAGCTGGCTGAGAACAGCGGCGATGACGTTGTGAAGGCCATCTGTGCCCAATGGCTCTCGGTGCACCAGCCCAAAATGAGAAATCGGCTGCCCCAGGGTGCTAGGAAGTAGTAAGTAATTGACGTTCACCATCATACGGAAGGGGAAGGCTTCATGACAGCTTAAAGGCGTGTGGTTCAGCAATCTCTTGGTGAAATGGAAGTCTCTTGACTGATGTTGATGGCAAATGGATGCTGCTAATGTGCCTCTGGTGAAAGGAAGGGAACTAAATTACAAGTGCCAGACTTGTATTTTGACAAACAGTCACTACCTCAGGGTGTTTTTTGGCTATCTTTTTGATGGGGGGGAGGGGGGTAGTTTCAAACTGAACAAGCAAGAATTTAAGTGTATGGAAGAGAGCACTTCTATTTCTAGTTTGGGGGGTTTTTTGGTTGATTTTTTTTTTTAAGGCACTGAACTTTATTGTATGGGTTTTTTTTATTTTTAATCCAGAAAACCTATATAGAGAGGACAGAAAATTCTTATCAACCCAACATAGCCTAGAGTATCAACTTTTTGTAATTATGGGTTTCCTGTAAACTTTGTCAAGATTGGAGAGACCTTCTTTTACAAAGACTGAAAGTCAGAGATTTTTTTTAAGCCTCTATACAAACCATTGCTACTCTTCTCCCCCCCGCCCCCCCACTAGTACAATGTGCCCAATTCATTTAGTTTGTTTGAAAAGGTAGGAACTGATTCTTCATGGCAGGTTTCTACTTAGCAGTCATACTGTCTGACATGTGCCATACATATGGCACTCGAGCCCTTACTAGATGGATGAAGTTACAAAGGGCATATCCTATAAGGGGAGTACAAAGGAAAAGTAATCCTTTAAAATAGTTTCAAAATCCCATAGTTCTTTCTTTGCTATGGTAATATCCAATTAGTTGTTGCAATGCAGCTTTATCACTGAACAGTTGCCAGTAAACTTCCACAGTTTTTTGTCAGGTAGAGCAGAAAATATGGATCAAGCAAGCTGTGGTAAAATTCAACAGGGGGTCTGTATCCCTGTCACACAGGGATTTGTTTCTTACCAGAATAATCTGCCCCTGTCAGGTACAATAGAACTCCAGACTAATTTTTTATTAACTGGACATACTGTATAGACTCTATTGACAGGCTTTGCTCTAGAAGCATTAGGTTTTTCTAAAAAAGCAGGAATCTTTGTGTAATGGTTGTGTTCAGGGATGCTGAAAAAAGCAGCTGCTTCTCTGCAGCTGTGACTGAGATATGAGAAATGGGCAGAAGAAAGGTAGACAGTAGTAGGACCTTCAAAAAGAAACAGAACAAAACGTGGCACTCCACAAGAGTTTGTGTTTGCCATTTACATGTATTTCAGCACAAGAGGTAGGAAAACTAGTTCACTCTTTTTGTTTAAAAAGTTTAGTTGTTCAAAAGAAACAACAGGTTTTCTGAAGTGTAATATAACTGTAAATAGTTTTAGTACATAAAATAATTGAGACTGTCAAATAAGAGTGTTGCACTATCCCCAAGCTCGCTGTAGTGACAGAACAGACTTGTATGGTCTTGGAGAGGACTTGGTCCATCTCCATTAGTGTTTCACGAGCAGTCTCCCACTGACATAAACACCTCTCTTGGAGGTGCTCCGCTCACTAGAGCAGGGTTAGAAATGTCTCAGAGCAAAGCAGTCAGAAATGACCACATTTAGCTTTCAGAATCTCCTGACCACAGATTTGCATTATCTTATTAGTGAGCAGTACTAATGAAAGCTGCTTTTGTTTTCCTCGCCAGACTGACCTAGCTTTCCATCAGAGTACAGCTGCTAGGCTAATCCTAAAACGTGACACTATCCATGCCTGTGATCATTTCCAAATCTCTCATTGTGGGGAGGAGGTTTTACTGTTCATGGGTTTGTGCATTGCTGCAATACCTACTTTTCTGCTCAAGTTCCTTCAGCTGTATAGAGGACAGAGTGGAGTTTGCCATGCAGACCAGTCAGTTCTGTACCTGCCTTTCTTCCTGACCTCTTTGCACTGTACCTGATGCACTTTATATAGTAGTGTTTGTTGTCATTTGATGTTCTTAACCTGGAATTGTAGGGGTCTTTCTCTTACCAGCAGAACTGGAGTTCTGATCCTGACTAACTGCCTTGTGTCACGAATAGTGCAATTATCAAGGGGCTTTGAATTTTTGAGCATCAAAAAGGGACTGAGTACTGCCAATTAAAAAGAACTTATCTATTAATGACCAAGGTTTGTTTACAATGAAAAAAGAGAATAAAGTATTATGACTGTTAACATGTCTTCTGTTTGCTTTTTATCTCAGTATAGCTGGCAATCTCTTTCTAGATCTGTATTTTGCTTTTGGCTGTGCTTAGCAGAGTAATTAGAAGGGGGAGAATTGTTCTGTCATGCAAAATCTCTCTCTGCTATATGATGTCCTCAACACTTAGATGAGATGGAATATCACATCTTTAGAAGTCCTCCCAGTAGCTAGGTAGCTAGCTCAGCCTCATGCATGTACTCTCACAGACGAGTAATCCTCTTTAGAGAGCTTTGCAAGTTAATCTAACTCTCCCTTACAAGCCTCCCTTTGAGATGGCTAAATGAGCTTTAGTTCCCTCATTTTACAGATCAGCCTAGAAGAAGGTATAAATTACTTGCCCAAGGTCAAAAAGAGCGTGGGGATGGCTGTGGAGATGTGTAGTTCTATGTCTTATGTTAAATCTACAATCAGCCATCTTTGAGAACAGCACTGACCTGCAAGGGCAAAATATTCCAGCCAGACCCAATACACTACCCGTACATTGTAGTTGTGGATTTAGCTTCATAGGCAAGATGAAGTGTAAAGAGGGAGGAAAAAAGGTAGAGTGACAGGGAGAAACCCAAAGGGACTTTAAACTGTAACCCAAACTGAGTTCTCTACATTAGTAAGGCAGGTGTGGAGAACAGCAACACTAAATAAACTGATTCAGCATGTCTGAAGGAAGGTATGGTCTCCTGTTGTAAAAAGAAAATGGCTTTATTTAGTATTGCTCAGAGGTAGCACAGGACTGATCTGCATAGATAGCATTCAGACAGAAAGAATTAATTGTAAAATTAGCATTTGTTTCCCAAAAACTGGCAGTTGGTCACAGTGGCACACTCACATGCAGGTCCAAAAGCTTCTGAACTTTTTTTTTTCAGAATCAGAAGATAATTCTATGAGCTGTAGCGCTTGTCTTCTAACTGCTTCACTCCTTCAGAAATAATCTTTGCCTGTGGATCACACTCTAGCAGTTTGCACCAGAGTAGCACTCGAGTTCCAAGGGAGCAGTCCCTACTACATGGAGTGACCCAGCTGCCTTTTGGAAGCACAAGCGGCATGGCAAGGCAAGGCTGGCAGCATTGGCCAGCCAAGGCCAGTAACTGTTGGGCAAACGTAAGGATTTCTGTGCAAGTCTTACTTTCCTGTCCTGTAGCTAACTTGACCGTGATACCAACATAGTCCTGACCTCTGCTTCAGCTGTTTAGCTCTAGGTAGTTTGCTGTCATTTAAAACTAAAGTCTCAGCTGAAGTTGTTCAATGTTTTTTAACATAGTTGAGATGTTCTTTACTCATTCTGCTCTCTTTTCTAGGTTGTAAAGTCGTTTAAAGTGCAGCTGGGGGAGGTTTATTGTGACATTTACACCATCTTTGCTCAATGCTTCCCAGGAGAGATGTTAATTTTTTAAAATAAGATTGTAGCACTCCTGTAGCTTTTAACCTCCCAGCCACCTGCACTGAGACCTGGGTTCTCAAAAGATAAGCCAAGACTCAGTTAACTTACTGCAAGTCCAGCTTCTTACAGAGATTATAGAGGGGGGAAAAAAGAATTGATTCCACTTTAAAAAATTGCTTAATGCTTTGCACAAAAAGGCCAGCACCTGTTTCTGTGTGTTTGAGAGCATTTGTATTGCATGTAACTGCCAGAGAATCTAATATCCTAAAGTACTTTCACTCTGCCAGGTCAAATAGTAGGAACTGAAAATAACCTCATAGATCATAAGTTTGGAGTCCTACCTTTTTACTATTACTGTTAGGGGAAAAAAAAAATTAAAGAAAGTAATTCTTTGTTACTTCATAATCTAAACCTAAGACTGCAACCTCCATTTCTATTCTAAAGCCAGAGAACAGTAGCCTCTGGCTGTTGTGTGAGATACCAAGCAAAGGTTGCTCCCTGCATCATACTGTAATTCTTCAGCTAGGAAGGGGGACTGGTTGCTTACTAATCGCAATCCCTAAGTGTAATATTCCAGAAATTCACATTAGTTTGTGTTCATAGAGCCATCATGAGGGCTGCTGAAGTATCAGCATTCTAGGCTGGAGGTCTCTTAGCAGTGCTCTTCCCAGGAGAGGAATCGCTGGGCTTAGCCTGATACGCACTTGAGGTCCACGCTGCTCAGTCCCACTGGATGCCAAGGAGCTCACAGCTCACGCTCCAGAGCTTCTTTGCTGTCTCATCATCCCGACCCCATGGAGATATGTATGCTGGCTGGCAATCACTGTAAGAGGAATATTTTTTATTTTTATTTTTTAAGTCAAAGATCTCCACCTGCATTAGCACGCTGCGATGTCTGTGGTAAGATAAGGGAGTTGTTTTCTATCAGCTTAACTCCAAGACTGATTGAAGAGGGGTGGAAGGCTATCTAGCAAATGAGCAAGGGCTGGTGCTACGCCACCTTGAGGAAGCTTTCTTTCGAACTGGCTAAGGAAGAGTCTTCCCCCACAGCACCAAGAACTGGCAAGCAAGTCTAGCTCTACCTGTTGTCTCAACTCTTAAAGAAACCTATATACATTCTATTTATAGTCTTCAGTGTACATTCTCATTACTACCACTAAAAAGGGCTATAAACACTAACCAAGCTTTTTCAGGAGCAAACACTACAAAACAGCCACTCAAACAGCTCTTCATTCTAAACTATTCATCTCACTATATTGCCACTGCATGAAGGGCAAAGCTGCCCCAGGATAACAACACTGTAATAACCGTGTATGGTTATCCCCTTTTCCATTAGCCTCTGGACTGTGGCTCCTTTCTTCTCAGCTCCTGCAATCAAACAGCATTCTGTCTGGAACAGAGATCGTGTGTTCTCATCTGTAACTCTAGATGCTCAATAACCTGGGAGTTTAAGAGAACAGAGGAAATTGCATCTCGTAAGATTTCTGTCCAGCCTAGTATTTTTAGAGCTGCAAGTGCACAGTCTCTCAGGTTCCTGAAATTACTCTGGTGGACTCCACCTGTCTTGCTGTAGCATGCAAATTCTTTTCTTAATGCCTGTACTTGTGCTTTATATTCTATTGCCTGGAAAGTGAAAAGAATTTTAGGCTAGTCCAATGTAAATTGTGAATTACTGTTTAAGCTATTTATTTCCCACCAAGTCCAAAACTCCTTTCTTTTTTGAGTTTAAAATCCACCAAATTTTTTTGTATTCCAGCACATAAATTCTCCACTTATATCCTGGGACAGACAATCTTCCTTGGATGATTAAGAAATCTATTTATACATTCAAGTCTGCTTAAGATGGTACAAACTCCCAAGTGAAGAGCAGACAAAGTCATTACAGAGACTAATCTGGTCAGATGTCACAAGAGGAAAGCTCTGCAAAGAAGCAAAGGCTCCAACAGTACCCAAGTGAATAAAAAAAAAAAAAGACACCTTTTTGTGTTCATTTCCCAAAACCAGTATTGTTACACTGCTCTACACAGAGTGAGAAGCTGACAGACACAGCTGAACAAAAGCTATTCAAAGGGCAGACTTCAAATCTAGGATGATGATGATGACTTGGAACTGCTCTGGGCTATAGTCTTGATGGGGGGAAAAGGCATGATTATGCAGGGTCCCAGAGTAAGTCAAAGATGTCAATAAACAACAGGGTTTGTAGCAGGAGCTACAAAAGACAGTAGGCAGGACAGAATGATAAGCACCCTAGCAGGAGCCCCTTCCAGCTGGTGGGTCTGTCACACTGACAAATCAAGTCATTTTGTCACATGCCAGTCCTGAAAATGTCACCTCCTCACTCTGCAAGCACCATCAGCCCTCCCAGCTCCCTGGCAGCACAGGCCCCTTCCTGCTCCAGTGGGGTAAAACTACAAAAAGAACCAGAGTGGTCTTCCCAGGATTGCCTCAGGTGACCTTATTAACTAGACAGAGCTATTTTCCCATCTCAGGCAGATCAGGATTAGAGCTCTGAGCATGTGACAGCCACTCCGGCACTTTGAGTACAGTGGTATTCCTAGTGCTGAAGGACCTGCTATTGTGTGAAGCGTTGCACAGGTCAGAGGTTTCTTCTAACACAATATCCACTGCAACAGACCTGGAAGGGGTAATGCTCTAGTATTTGTCACCCTCAATCTTATCAGCCAGCCTCTTACTCAGTCCCTTCTTAATGAAGAATGACACTAAGTCTCATTTTCCTCAGCCCAACAAGGCTGCCTTCCACAGCACATCACTCCATCAGCTTGCACCCACCTGAAATACTGTCCTGTCACAGAGTCTAGCTCTTCTGCTACTGCACAGTAGACACTGGTCTGAGCTCCTTCCTGAGGTGTCTTCAAGAAGAATGAGAATATCTTCCACAGCCACGTCATTACAAACGAGTGCCGGACCAGTTCAGAATGGACAGAACCAGGATGGAGAGCGTTTGCTGTGACTTTAGTGCCTATGGCAAAAGAAAGTAGTCCAGGACAAATCTGCATGCATCAAACTGCCTTTAAAAAAAAAGGGTAATATACTCCTCTATTCTACCTGCAGATAAAGGAGGAGTCTAGGCATAGATACAGGGAAAGTAAGTGAAATTCTCGGTAGTTACTGGTTGCTGGATCACCCCCCACTCCCTTCCAAACACTGCAGTCACTACATGCCTTCTGCAAAACAATGTGCTAGAAGGCCTGGATGCTAAAACAGCAGCAGTTTCCATCAGGTTTTTGAGAAGACCAGCTTCTTTTGATTTACTCTAATACTAATTTCCTAGAGAAGACAGTACTACTTACGTTTATGAAAAGAACTGAATGACATGCCTGTGACAAATACTATGACATAAGAAGTACTGCCTAGTCCTATGCTTCTATTTTACAGGCCATTGACACTTAAGGCAGCTGAGTATCCCTCAGCTTTTCCATTGCAGACTGCAATTGTAGTCCAGCTCCTTCTGTTTTTTCAGCCATTGACACTTAAGGCAGCCGAGTATCCCTCAGCTTTTCCATTGCAGACTGCAATTGTAGTCCAGCTCCTTCTGTTTATACAGCTTCCAGCCACATACCACAATTGTCTGTGTGGATGCAGCTAGATTTTTTGGGCGGACATAGATTGTGGGGGGGGGGGTTGGGTGGGGTTGTTTTTTTTTTTTTTTACAAGCATGAAAGAAATCCATTCAGCTGTGCCAGGCTACTGAACTCCTCTGCCCTGCTGCTGTAAAGACAATTAGTGCTTTAAGTCTCCTGGTTCCACAGACAGGAGATATTTTCTTCCTGCATCAAAGAGCTGTCAGCGACCCTTGCCTCTAACTATTTCATTTCTATGTAGCCAATTTCCAGACTTTTCTTCAATCCACCCTCCTCACTCATGGTGCTCAAAAACCAAGCAGAAGAACACTCTGCTCTCTGCTGGGACTTGCCTTGCAGCCGCCTTGCCAGCTCCCGGGTGAAGAGCACATTAGCCAATTTGCTGTGGCAGTAGGCGAGGCCCCGATTGTAGCTCTTCTCACCATGGAGATCGTGGAAGCGGATTCGGCCTCCGTGATGAGCCAGTGAGGACACGTTCACTATGCGGGCTGGGGCAGACTGCTTCAGACACTCCAGCAATAGGAAGGTCAATAGAAAATGACCTAGAGATGAGAGGAAATGTCATCCTTCTCTGAAGGGCTCCACTGCTGGAATTTTAAAGTACTTTCAACATATTACTTACATGTTACATCTTACTGCTGCCTGCATCAAGTCCAGGGAAAAGACAACCCCCTGAATCAACAGCTAAACTTTTTGGGGGCCATTAAGTTCTGCTCCTCACCTTCAAAAAGCCAGAGCTGTCATATGTTTCCAATGTCCCAGGTAACACGTACAGATACTTAAACTGGGTCCACGATAAGCAAACACATTGCATTGCATCCCCAGAACTGTAACTCTGGCCTTCCATCCTTCCCCAAGATGGAGGAAGAGAAAAATCTGAAAGCAGGATTTTCCTCTGGCATTTCACCACAGATAGTGAATGCAAACATTCCGCTGGCCTTACCAAGATGATTGACTCCCAGGTGCATCTCAAAGCCATCAGCAGTCTTGGAGTAAGGGCATAACATTACCCCAGCATTATTAATGAGAACATGAAGTTCCTTCTCCTCTGCAACACACAACAGACATCCTTAAACAGGAAAACAGAGAGCGAAGACAGACAAGGCAGCAGCACAAGTCAGCAAAAAAAAAAAAAAACAAAACCAAACCCCACACCTGTCTGAGCTGCAGCCACATTGCCTCAATAAAATAAGGGTAAGTCTCCTACCACAAACTAGCTCATGGCCTCTGACAACCCCCTGCCTAGAACCACAGTACCCAACACAGTACAGAGATATGCAGGTCAGGGATTTGGCATTTGCTAGAGCAGTGGACAGCAGTCCTTGGTAAAATAGTCTCACTGAAAAGAAGGATCTAGAGACTGTACCTGCTAGAAATTTCTCAGCAAACTCCCGGATGGACTTTGTATCAGCCAAGTCCAGTTTTTTCGCAATGACTTGCTGGTTCCCAGTCTCAGCTCGGATTTCACTGGCTGCAGCCTCTGCCTTCGTTATGTCTCTGCACGCGACAATCACCCTCGCACCTGCAAGGGGAGGGGAAAGCAGGAACAGAAGCTGAAATCACTGGGAGCACATTGGATGATCAGGGCTATGACTAGCAGGCTGACTACACACCATACTTACAAAAAATGTATTGTTTCTTTAGGGAATTAGCATCAAGTCAGGGGAGCAGTTGGGAGAGATAAAGCCTTTCCTACTATGTTGTTAGCTCCGATCCAGCTCAAAGCTGTTTTCAGACCAGGAAAATGCACATCTCAAGTGCCTCTGTCAAGGTTCTCCCATATCAGGAGCATGTACCACAAGACTGGTATGTTAGGGTTATATCTGCCCCTATAATGGGAGTGTCAAGCAAGGAGCACATGAACATACGTGGATTCCAGCCAGAGTAACTGCTAAACGGATTGTGAACAGGTAGTGTAATCTCCTTATCAGTTACCCAAAAAGCATGTAAACCAAATTAGCTTGAAACACGAATAACTCAAGCACACAGCAGTGGACCTATGTCAGTTCCCAGCTTCACACAAGCAGAACCCAGTGATACCAGGAACTTCCTCACTCTTCTCAAAATGGTTGCAGTGCAGAGCATTTTCATGTCACAAGGCACATTTTTGGAGTTCAAGCAATGAAACCAGCTGGGAGGAACTGGGCACTTGCACCTCAGTGGTTACAGCCTCTGGAGGAGCAACACTTGGGCTTGTCTGAAATAACTTTGGAATCCAAGTCACTTAAATGTAAGCATAAAACGCTCCTCCTGTCGATCCAGAAAAGGGACTACTGACACACAGGTGCACACGCATCAGCCGCACAGGGACGCCTGCTGATGAAGGCCAGTGACTTGCCTCTTCGTGCGAGGTCTCTGGCGGTCTCCTTCCCAATGCCTGTGTTGGCTCCTGTGATTATCACCACCTTCCCCTCCAGCCTAGCTGTTGACTTGCACTGTCCTCCAGCGACATACCTCCTGCAAGAGAGGGCGGCAGCAGTCACGACGGGACGAGGACCAAGGGCAGCATCCCTCCTCAGGGGACTCGGCTCAGGGCTGTGCACCCAGAGCCCCGCGGTTTGCCCCAACGGTGGGGCTGACCGCTGCGCTCAGGACCCCGGGGACTCACGGGCGTCGTTACCTGAAGCAGTCGATCACGATCGTGTCGTGACCGGGTCACCGGGAACTCGCCCTCCAAATCCCCTCACCCCCCCCCGCTTTACAAACACCGGCCCG